TAAAAAATAGTACAATAGATAATTAATAATAATTATAGAAATTTTATTAGTTACACGTAGTGTTAATTACAAATTCGAGTAACTTGCTAATCAAACCAATTTTTACAAACGAAAAATTAAACCCTCGCTTATGGTTAGGGTAAAGGTGAGATTGGGTTTGGGAAAGGTATAGTTTATGCCAAAATTTCGCAAGGAAGTTTTTTTGTCAAAAGCCAAAAGGTGGTTTTATATCAAAATTTTTAGATATCTATATTGCCTGTGTACATACATTCCATGTACAAAATAGAAATTGCCATAATTATATACTGTATTATAAAATTAAAACAGTAAAACATTTGTTACTATCTTTTACTATATAGTTCTTTATTTATAGTATGTTGTTTTTCAGATTAACACTTGCATCAAGGCATCAAGTGTTACTTTGGTCTGAGTTAGGGTTAAAGTTAGGTTATACTATAATTTAGGATAATCTGTTAATTTCGATCAAATAAACATATAATTAACACTTAAGTGTTAATCTGAGGCATAACATATATCGATATAGCAAAAATATTAAGAATTTTTACTGGCCATTTGTGCAACTATACAGTAACGAATAATAATAATATTTTTTATTTATTTATTTATTTATTTATAAAATTAATAGATTACTATATATATATATCTATCTGATACGTATTATTTTGGTACGTACCGGTATAACAGTAACAAAACTAAGAAAGTAAATTAAAAATTAAATACTCGGGCATTACAAAACTTAATACAGTATAGGGCACATGGTTGGCTAGGACGGGCTGGGCTCAAATACATACCTGAAAAATATTTTTAGGTCCAAACCCGACCCAGAAAAAAAAAAAAGCCGGAATAGAATGCCAGCTCGGGCTTTCCAGCCAGACTCAGCCACCAATTTAAGCACCACAAATTTATAAACTTTAACGCTGATTCTCTCATATAATCATCTATTTATCTATTATTGAATTGCTATCGTTAAGGGAAAACCTATTATCAGAATTTCAAATTTTACCAGTCACACAATCCTAACAAATTAGATTAAGTCCGGTAAGCAATAAACTTGAAACCCCATTTTCCTTTGGCGGCACTCTTATAAATTTTAAAAGGCTTCCGGCAAGAAATTAAAAGGTTTAACGTACCGTATTGTACTGTCATTTCTATTTTTATTTATATAATATAAAATAGTGTACTATACGGATATATAGTACATTTAAAATCAAAATAAAGTACGAAACTTATACCAAAGGTTTAAAAAAAAAATTAATTTTTAGTACAACATTAAACATGAAACATGAGTATATTGAAATTTTATAGAAGTTAATAATCCATTATAATGCTAAGATAACGAAGCGAATGACGTATTTTCAAATACTAAGCAAACTTTTATTTTTGTATACTTTTAATATATCAATACTTAGTGTTAATGTCATCAAAAGAGTTGAAACTGAGCTAGCTAGTTGAACACGACAATTTTTTCGCGAATCATATGTTCTATTAATTTTGACTCAAAATTTATAATAATAGCTTTGTCAAAACGGATCGAAAATATGTCAGAAGCTAGTAAAATATTAGCAACTTTATTGCCATTCACAATCTTCTTAAATTCCAAAAGGCCAATTTTTCCTTTCTCGAGTAAAATCTTGATTACTTTATTTGCAACATCATGGTAACAGTCTCCAGGAAGTATCTCAGCTTTAAGAAAAACTCTTATATAATCTTCCATGATTAATTTCTTAGTGTCTATGTTCGATGAGAAAAGATATGAGTACATTATGTAAACAAGGCGAACATTTCAATTGCACGTTTGAGGTGTATAAATCGACCACCAAGGAGGTTATAAAATTGCTCTGCTTCTTTTAGAGAAAGACCGTTCTTATTCACCAGAAAATCCATTGATTCATCCTTTGTCAAATCTGGAATTTCAAAAATTGAAGTCGCCCGAGACCACGCACTCCGCTCTGAAGGAAAAGATAGGTAAGATTATTGGTTTATATCATAATAAATTGTATGTTTCCCATACCTTGCATCCTAATAGGCACAGTCCCCTCACTGGTCACAAATAAAGAAATATAACTTGATTTATCAGCATTATCTTTGGCATCATCCTGGAGTATGTCTAGTAATTCGGGGGCTTCACGAGCTAAACGGCTAACATTATCATAGACAATAACAGCAGGCTTTCCGTAAGCCTTCAAATAAGCCTTAGCACCACACTTAAAACGATCTAGAGCTCTTATCCATTTTGCATCCTGAGAACACCTATACAGTATCGGTATTTATTCAGAGTAAATAGCAAGTAAAATTATAATTTCAGTAAATCACTTAGTGTACCTGATTCTAAAGGGATTCCCCAAATCTTTCGGAACAGAACTGACATAAATGAAATATGTTCATCGAATGACATGTTCAGAGCTTCGGCAAACACATCACCGAATTTTGTAACATTAGCAGGTATGTCGATATAAATCACTCCACGACCGACTTCCTTCGCTGCTTGACAAACAATGGTCGATTTACCCACACCATGCGATCCTGAAACAACCTGGTAAAAGCAAGTTTTTTTTGTGCGGTGTAAGCTTGATTTTGATTTTATTAAAAATTTCTTCACGGGAAATGAGTTGATCGTGATGTGGAAGACTTATGGAAGGGTTTATTGAGCCAGTCACGAAAGTATTGAAGAGGACATGATCGTTATAGCGTCTGCGCCACTCAGCGATAATAAGATCCAGAGAAATAAGTGAAATGCCCCCAAAATGATTTTAGGCATCTGAAAAAATAAGAATGAATTGTACTATACATCAATAATAATAATAATAAAAGTCTATACCGTTAGGCGTTTTACAATGCTTTTTACTAATACGTACGAATGCATCTTCAGTTGACTTATTTGAAGATGGTTTTGTAAGGTGACTGTCGAATATTGAGTAGTTCCGCGAAGAAGAAAGGATATACGATGAAGTTTAAAGTACCGTAATGGTTGTAGACGAATCATTTTAATGCCGTCAAGAGATAACCGTAAATCTTGAGATTTGCAATGGCGAAATAAATTGACGGATCAGCATGATTAAAAATCCATTCGTCAAAATTTTTTTTATAATTTAAATAAGAAAAGGCCTATTTTTGCTTATATGTAAAGTAGGTTACATTACATATTAATCGTTCACGAAACTTTACTATCATCTTGGTAGTTCGCTCGTCTACCTACCTTTAAATTTAATCTGGTATAATCAGATTTAATAAAAAGTTTACTATGTCGTTATTTTTCAAAAAACAGGACTTTTGTGTTCACTAAATTGAGTAATACGAATAGTAGTAGAGTATAGTTTAGTAAAGTAGTGGAATATAATAAGTTAAATTAGCATACACGTGTGTATGGTTGGTGAGGTCACAACCGAGTATATCGTGTATAGTATGCAAATGTATATAAAATTCATGCGTATATAAAATTCATGCGAATGTGACGGTAAAGAATACTAGAATTCGGGCCTTAAAATTTATAATATCAGATCCAATTTTTTAATAGGTTGAGTTTATAATGTTAATTTGATATATAGTTTAAAAGCCCGAAGTCCAATATGGTCGTTAAATAACAAACTTTGTAGCAAGCTCATGTTGATCATGGCGCAGCACTGCCTTGATATTTTTTAACTGATTATGGCACAATACCAAATATTCAAATTATGGGCAAATATTGTGATCATGTAATAAAATATTCATGCAATTTTAATAGTAAATAAATCTAAGTAAAAATTACTTTTATTTTTATTTTTTTTTTCAATGCTTACAATACTAATAAAATTTATTATAATTATTGAATGTGTTCCTGGTAAGGAATTTTTCAATAACTTTCTTTCGGTTTTCTTTATTTTGCACATTTTTGCAACAAATGTTTCCGGATTCAATTTTGCCCAACACTTTTCATGTTTGTGATGGTGGCTTGTTTGCAGCAGTTTCTCTTGGTGGTTTATTGGCGACTTCTGGTGGTTCATCAGCAACGGATATTTCTAGTGATTCATTGGCAACAATTATTTCTGGTAGTTCATTGGCAACGGTTGTTTATGGTGGTTCATCGGTGATGGCTGCTTCTTCATGGTCATCAAAATCGGAAGTTGAACAAACTTTGAGATTGTTGATATTACTTGCAAGTGAACTTGCAAGTGATACCACTGAACTTGCTCGTTTCATTAAAAAACTTGCTTCAGTGAAACCTCTGCTTGAATATTTCACATGATCTGGTTGTGTTTTAGATGTTTTATTTTTTAAATAAAATTTATAAATTAAATAATAAATTTTTTTTAAAAAAAAATCACATTGTATAAGTGTCTTTAATTAATCCTTCTCTATTGTTAATGGATAGGATTTACCTATACTAGAACTAGTACAATGTACTAGTTCTAGTACAGTATTAAATTAAAATTATCTGTTAATTTTTAAAGTTAACTACTTTATTAAATATTATTTTAATATAGTTTAGATTTATACAATTATATAAAAAAAGTTTAATAGCTTTAAATATTTTTTGAATTTTATATAATTTTTTGTTTGGTTACAAAAGTTTAGTTTAAACTAATTTATATAGAAGTTACTAGCTACCTTATAAGATGTTTGTGACTTTTAAAAATTTTTTTATTAAATAACTTTATAAAATTTTGATAAAAGTTATAAAGATAAGTTTGCTAATTTCAAATATAATTTTTTTTTAAAATTAAACAAATATATAAGAAATAATTTAAATTTAAAGTTTTACTAATAATTACTATATAAATTTTTTATATTAAAAATAAATATAATTTTTTAAAATTTAAAGTAATATAACTTAAAATAAACTAATTTTATACAGTATCAGACAGTATAAGACATCCACTTTTTATATATAAAAACTTTAAATTATAATAATTTTTTTAAAATGAGTTAAATCAAAAAACTCTTCAATAAATTGATAGATTTTTAGCCAAACTACATTTCTGTCAGAGGATTTGTTATTATTTTTGCTTTAAAGAAGTTATTAAGAATTAAAGTTTATAATAAGTTAAAAAATTGGCATTTAATATAAAAAAAAAGATATATGTTTCATTAACCAATCCAAATTAATTATATAAAATTAGCCAATCAAAATTGATAATTTAAGCATCAAAAATTGGTGCTCTATATATATATTGGATGTCTTATACTGTCTGGTACTGTACCAAAAAATTTTTGTAATTAAAATTAGATAGTAAATTTTTAAAAATTTAAAAAAATTTAATTAATAAAAAAAGCAATTTCTATTTGTATACGGGTGTTTATATACTGGCAATATAGAACCTAACCAATATCTCAAAATTTTGATTATAAAACCACTTTTTGGCTTCTAATAAAAAAAATTCTT